AGTCTGCAAAGGAAGGGGCTGTGGGAGATGCAATTGGGTGGAGCCCCTCCCTCAACTTGCGAGAAGGAATAAAAGTCAGAGTTGAGAGTATGTGAGCCAGAAGTTGTATGCAAAAGCTACATCCTGGAACAGCAGAGAGCACCATCCGAGATCTCTGCTTGAATCCAAGGCTATGGCAATAGGAGAAACAATACCCTTTTGGGATGTTGATACTTTGAACCCCTCCATTGTAGGCTCAGGCTGTATATGTGTGTAAATAAGTCATATAACACAAAGACGCCACAGTCTTCCCTGAGCCTGATTTCAAAAGGAAATATGAACCCGGGGTAAGTGCCTGGAATCTTACACCACTCAGAGATTGGGGTGGCACAAACACACTTCCGGGCTGCAGTGGCGTAGCGTGGGGGGTGCAGGGGGGCCGGCGGCACCGGGCGCAACATCTGGGGGGGCGCGCTTGCACTCGCAGCTCTCTGCCCCTACCTAAATCCACGGGTTAGGGGGCGCAAATTACTTGCCTTGCCCCGGGTGCTGACAACCCACGCTACACCACTGCCGGGCTGAAGTACTTTCAAGATCCCACCACCTCCCCAGTGACCATGAGATGATCCTCTAGGCTCCACCCCTCCTCAAGTAAAAAACTCAGAAGCTCCCACCCCACGGATCAAGCACTTTTAAAAATCGTGTTAGCCAATCCATTTGCTGGCGGAGGCCTCTGGCTATCTACATTCTGGATTTCTCTCTGTTCTGCTGCTGGATGATTCAAGCTTCATTTAGAGAGAGTCTGTCATGCCCAAAGATGCGTATGTGTGACAATTCCAGAAGACAGTGGTGCAAATCCTATGTTTGCTAATTGGGTCAGCTTTTGAGAAATGTAAATGCTTTCTTTTTTTTAAAAAAAAAAAGGAAAGGAAAGCCGCTTTCTTGCCCTTAAGGCTTAAAAAGTATTGTTGTGCACAGCCTCAGTCTTCAGGCAGTGCAAGATTCCAGACCAACCCTCTCCTCTCAACGAGGTTCTTCCAGGCGGCTGAAAAATCTCCCGTGAGAAATTTCGGCTCGGCTCGATTTTGCAACATCAAATTGTTTTCGAAATGGCGCACAGCCTTGGGCAGGCCTGCCAAACCAAAGCCAGCCCAGGGGAGATTATGTTGCTATTGTCTCCCTCTGGGTTCTTGAACTGATGTGTGTGTGTCGAGATATAAAAAATAAATCGTCCAGTAGCACCTTAGAGACCAACTAAGTTTGTTCTGGGTTGTGTGTGTGTATCTCACCCCCACCTTGATTTTCTGCCAGGATCTGCCTCAGTCTGTCAACACATAACGGGAGCCAAGAAAAGACAGCAGGCAAGAAACGCAAACAACCGCACCCCAAACTGCGAGTAGCTCTGCAGCAGGAGAGGGACAGAATAGGCTTGTGGAACCATCTTGTCTCTAGGGTGGCTGAGGGTCAGAGAACTCAGGATAGGGGAAGAAAGTCACATTATCGGATGAATCCACCTTATTTGCCCTTTCCAAGGCAGCTGTCCTTCACACTTCTTTGAATTTTAGTGTGCAGTTCTCCAGCCAAGTCATGTGTACAAAAATGCACATATGTCAGAATAACACTAAAATCCATTTTATCTGGGAAAGTAGAAATATTGGGGGAAATACATGTTGCAAAAATATTGGGCAAAATGATGTTTGAAGAGCTGAAATTCACACTAAAATACCATACTGATTAATCTTCCTTTTTTAAAATTGCAAGCTAATCTGGAGGACCGAATTTAAGAATGAGGAAAATGAGAAAATGAGCGGAGCTGAAATTGAGGGATTTGCCCATCCCTATAGAGGATGTCCTCCTCCCTCCTTGAAGGGTTGTCTGGTCCAAGTTGGAGTCAAAAGATAAATAACCTTCAGAAGGGAAAGCAGAGCAGCATCAGAAGCCTTGAAGTGTCCCATCAACATTTAGCACCTGAAGAGTAAACAAAGGAGGCCCATAGCAGGTCACCTGGTCAAAAGCCACTTCCAAGCTCTTGCCATCTTTCAGGTGGGCGTCAACTGCAGATTGGTAAATTCAGGCTGTGCAATTCAAGTGGATTTGACCCTCTTATGTAACAGCCTCCCTCAGTAAACAAATTAAGAAACTCAAGAGCAAAGTCAGCAAAGTGACAGGAAACTGCACTGGATAACAATTGCCTGGGCCAATGTCCTATTAATCTCCCTGCCAACAAGTCAAAACCAATGCTCAATACTCTTTATAACCACCCTGCAAATTTGTGCAAAATAATTAGGACGGATACTCAACAGGTCGCCTGGAAACGGCCACAGTGTGGTGGTGAGATGTGTTTCGTTTATATCTAAAATTATAGTGGTACCTCAGTTTACAAACTTAATCTTTTCTGGAAGTCCGTTCTTAAACCGAAACTGTTCTTAAATCGAGGCGCTCTTTCCCTAATGAGGCCTCCTGCCGCCGGTTCCCTTCCACCGTTCGGCTTCCATTCTTAGACCGAGGTAAAGTTCGCAAACCGGGACACTACTTCCGGTTTTGTGGAGTTCGTAAACCGAATCGTTCGTAAACAGGACTGTTATTAAACTGAGGTACCACTGTATCCTTCTTAAGATTGCATCAATGCCTATAAATTAGCATGTGCAATTTTTTCCCATGCCTGCGTCCTCTCTTGAAATGATGTGTTCCCTCTTTTCTGGCAATTCATAAGCAGCCACCAATTTGTCGCTCAGTTCCAATCCTGGACTGTTTTGCTGAAAGGAGGTGGCTGACAGCCAGACTGAAGCGGAAATTGAGGCTTCCCGTTGGAATAATCTTTCTGAGACGTCTCCATTTATTCAATACTTTTTTTTATTTAATGTCTTTTCTGGGCCTGTTTTCATGCTTCTGATATGTTTGATTGCTGTCCTGAGAAATACGTTGCAGTGTTTTTTGTTAGTTTTAATTATTTGGATTGCAATCCTATAGTCAGCAAATTGGCATTAAGTTCCCACTGAACTCAATGGGATTTAAAACTTCTGAACAGAAGCAAAAGGTTGTGTTGTTAACCATTCATTATAAACTGTCCCGGGACGTGTTGAAACAGAAGGGTGGGGTGGCGTTCAGCGCTTTCCACCAAATAAATATATGATGAAATATGGCGTATTGCAAAAGCACAGTATATTTCAATGTCACCTAACCGCCTCTGTACTTGCAACAAGTTTATAACATTAAAAAACCCGTCACATGTTGAAGCACATCGCTGTAATCCTCAAAGGGGAAAATCCAGTAATCCTCTGGCGAATTCTTTGCATCATCTGATGGGAAGGGTGAAGTATTAAGGTAGTTCCAACAAAAGGCAAATCCTCTCAGATCATGTGCTGGGAACTGCAGCTCTAAAACTTAGCAGAGGGCCAAAACAGGGTGTGAGATCAGTTGTTTCCTCACACGTACACTTTAAAACAGCCTCCCCTCCCCCCCCAGTTTTGACTGAAGCTATGTCTCTGGGGGGAGCAGAGGGGAATAAGACAGTTGCAGCTCCTATCTGTGCTCTCTCTCCCCCCCCCCAATCGTAGACCATAGAGGTCCATGGAAGTTGTGTAGGAACAGACTAAATATTTCCTCCTCTGCCTGCCACTGCTTTGATCAAAATCCAAGACCATCCCATTGGCACCCACTTTATGAAAGTGTGTGGTGAGATCTCCTACATCAAATCTGTTCTTGCAGGTCCTCAGCTTCCACTGCAAGCCCACATCAAGCTCAGTTCCAGCTCTGCAGTATACCAGTCTGCTAACTCATTTTCAACCTCCTAGATGTTTCCCCCTCCCTCTCTCTCTCACACACACCTTAAATTCATTTTCTCAATAGTCAAGATCACAGCAGGGCGGTCATGTGTCCTACATTAGAGAGGGAATCCTCTATTTTTCTCTATTTGAATAGCTATTGGGTCCAAGTCTGATGTAAAGATTATTTATTTCATAACATTTATAAACCTTACTTTTTAAAAGACATCTGAAGGCAACCCTGCTTAGGGAAGTTATTAGTATTTAATGTTGTGTTGTTTTTAACACTCGATTGGGAGTTGCCCAGAGTGGCTGGGGAAACTCAGCCAGATGGGTGGGGTATAAATAATAAATTATTATTATTACAGTGGTACCTCTGGTTACGTACTTAATTCGTTCCGGAGGTCCGTTCTTAACCTGAAACTGTTCTTAACCTGAAGCACTATACTTTAGCTAATGGGGCCTCCAGCTGCCACCGTGGCGCGATTTCTGTTCTCATCCTGAAGCAAAGTTCTTAACCCGAGGTATGTAACCTGAAGTATATGTAACCTGAGGTACCACTGTATTATAATAATAATCCTTCACTTTTTCTTTACAGGGCCATGTAGATGAATGCAACTGGTGTGATGTTTCTGACTTTCTACACTAGTGTCTGTTTAATTCATAGCTTCCTTAAGTTTTTCTCACACTGAAGTTAAGGGTTTAATTAGGGGATTAGGTTTTGCTGCCTGTGTATGAGTTTCAACAGTCTTTGAATAGTTTTGATGGAATACAGTGTTTAAAGTATCATTTAAAAAACTAAAAAGTTTGGCAATGCTTCATGCTCCAAGGCTGTTTCAGTGTGAGGCGGTTGGTGCCTGGTTTTGTTTCTTGTTATACTCACTCCCCAAATGACAGTAGGAAGAGCAGAAGGCAGGGAAGTTCAGCTCATCCAACTCCTTTGCCCCTTGGGATGCTCAGCAGTCCAATTTACAGAACACCACCTACTTGGAGGAAACATAGGTTCTGGCTGGAAGGCTGCAGTCCTCTCAGGTTACGCTGATGATTATTTCCAGATGAAACTGCACATTCCACATGTCATGTGCTTTTTCTTGACTATAGCCATCAGCTCAAAGATATACTTACCCTTGAAACTTTGCTTACAGCAGGAAGGTACCACAAAGCTCATTCGGCCTAACCCCCTGCTGATGCAGGAAATAATTTGCTGACACTCAACACTAATGTTGTTAAATTAATAAAGGACGAGGACGAGAAAGCTTTTCAATAAAAGTATTTATTAATGGTGGGAATACAAGATATGAGCAGAGTATCAACCTGACGATTTGGGAAGGTTTTTTAAGTGCATGTCATGTACTCTGCTTAAGTAATGCAAAATATATGTCTTTGCTAAAATTCTATAAAAAGTGGGCTTCTTTGAGACCAGATCGTTCTATTTTTAAAAAGGCTCTCCAGGGTCAAAGCAGGATAGAGAGAGAAGAGACCAAAAAAAAAAAAAAGAAAGAAAAAAAGAGAGAGAGGCAAAAAAGAGACGTTCCTTTTGGAATGTAACAACCAGATTTTCTTGAACTCCTTCCTGCATCTACTGTCTAGGAAGGGAGGTCAAGGATTCACAGCTTACTGAGCTATAAATTGAGCTGAACATTAGTTTGTGGTTGTTCTAGACACAGGCTGATAAGCAGTGACAGCTCCAAAGCTACACAGTGGCTGGAAAAACTACATAGCAGCACTTTGGGAAACTGGCTGTTTCTTGAAGGGGTCATGAAGGCATCTTGGCTTGATCTTCGTCTTTACACTATCAAGGCACATGGTGGCATCTTCCAGAGACAACATGGGGTGTTCTCCTGGCACCAAACAGTATACAATCTAAAACAAACAATGGGGAGAGCAAGGGAGGGAATGGTGTGGGCAGATGCCATCATACTCATATCCACGCCATTTAAAAGGACACTTGTTGCCCCAAAGAACTCTGGGAACTGTAGTTTAATCCTCACAGAGCACTCTTGGTAAACTACAGTTCCCAGGACTCTTGGGGAAGAAGTCATATGCTTTAAACGTTGGTGGGGATGTGGCTGTATTTGAAGCTTTGTTACAGTAGGGAATGAAGATTATGAGATTATACCAAAGGCCCCAAAGGAAATATGGGTTTTGAAGGAAGGGGAAATAGTGCCAGCTCCAGATTCCACGGGGTCCATGGGGCCCCCCTGCTCATTTTCACTGCTGTTGCTGTTCCCCATTCACTAGTCCTCTTTCTCTGGGCGCTGCTCAAGCCACACAACTGCCCGGAGGGAGCAGGTAAGGGAGTGGAGCCTACTGTTTGTTGGGGGAGTGGGTGGCACTGTGGTCTAAACCACTGAGACTCTTGAGCTTGCCAATTGGAAGGTCGGCAGTTCAAATCCATGCAAACGGGTGAGCTTCTGTAGCTCTGTCCCAGCTCCTGCCAACCTAGCAGTTTGAAAGCACACCAGTACAAGTAGATAAATAGGTACTGCTGTGGTGGGAAGGTAAACAGCATTTCTGTGCATTCTGGCACTTGTCATGGTGTCCCGTTGCGCCAGAAGCAGTTTAGTCATGCTGGCCACATGACCCAGAAAGCTGTGCACAATCGCTGGCCCCTCAGCTGGAAGCGGGTTGAGTGCCACACCCCATAGTTGCCTTTGACTGGACTTAACTGTCCAGGGGCCCTTTACCTTTTTACCTTCTCCTTGTTCCTGACACTACTCACTTGCTAAGAGGGGACAACTGAATGGGCAGCAATGGCAAGGAGAAGCAGCACCAAGGCAAGGGGCTTCACACACACACACACACACACACACACACACACACACACGGCTCTGCTAGACCATTGATATTTTTGGGTGGGATTCAATCATATACCAACAAATACAGGTTGCACCATTATAGTTAATTAGGCAGTCTTGAACAACAAAACCACTTATCCAAAGATCAGACTTTTGCAATATGAAAAGTAATACAGAAATCCACTTTTTGTAATAAGAAAAGTGATGGGAAGTGCAGAATAACACTTGGTTTGACACAGGATCGTCTAACCTCCCTGCAAACAAATCAGCACAAATGCTCAATAAACAGTTCTTCTGGAAGTGTCCACCTACACACCAGCAGGAAACGTCAAGGAAGAGTTGTCCGCTAGGGAGAAAGCTGGATAGTATTGTGCATGTTCAGGAGCGTTTGTGGACATGGGAGATAATCCAAGAATCATGGCTTCTGTATTTTGTCTCTTTTCTATTAACTAGAACTAGATCTGTTCATCAAACAAGAAACCCCGTGGGTGGAATTGATATTAAGAATCTGAAGCAAAGGTAGTAGATTCCATAGAATGGGAATAAAAGGAGACTCACCCAAAAAGGGAAGTCAGAGAGATCAAATCTCTGTCCGGAAGTGCAGGGTCGTTCCTTCCATCTGCCTCTTGTAATCGGCATCAAAGCGCTCATTTTGAGCCACTGTGAACTTGTTCTTCCAATCGCCAGTGATTCCTGGGGTTGAAATGTGAAGAAATGGGAGTCAAGACACTGGCAATTAAAGAGGGACAAGATAGACACGAACATTACTACCTAAAGACCTGTCAAATATGATGGATAAAAGAGGAACGGGGAGGGCCCCTTCTCCAGCTGTCGGAGAGTTAGAAGGACAAAGCCTGAGATTTGGGGGCCGGGTTTGCCAGAGGAAAAAGCTGCAGGCTAGAAAGGCAGAGAGAGAGAAAGAGTTGTGGCTGATTTCTGCTTGAATCCAAGCCTGTGGCTGTGGTAGAAACAAGACCCGTTTGATGTACTGATGCTGTGAACCCCTCCATTGCAGGCTCAGGATGTATATATGTGTAAATAAACCATATATCATAAAGATACCACAGTCTCTGCTGTGCCTCATTTCCAAAAGGAAACACGGAGCCTGCGGTGAACCCCTAGGACTGCTGGAATCTCAGCCCTCTTCAGCCCATCCCTCCAGGTGTCAGTGCAGCTTACCTTTCCTCATGAAAGGGGAGATACTGTGGTCCATAATCGTGGCAGGGATGCTTGTGTAATTGGCCATTTGGTTCTTCTGCATCTCTTTGAAGGAGGTGTGGTGAGCAATCTTCTCGACCAGGCGGTCATCAGGGGGCCTCTCCAGGAATTCCATTACTTTTCGGATCTCCCGCTGAGGATTCTAGAAGATAAGCAATGATTGGGGGTTGATGCCAGGGGACTTGGGTTAATAAATTAATAATAATAATTTATTATTTATACCCCACCCATCTGGCTGGGTTTCCCCAGCCCTGGGTTGGGAAAGGAAGACAGGGGAGAAGGACACAGTATACAGAATGGGAATACCCAGGTGGACCTCCCAATTTCCCAACCTGGGAACCGTCATTTTGTCTGGTGCACCCTGGCAAATGATGCTCTGGCCCTCTAGACACCACAGTTCCTTCTGACACACTGCATGCATGCGTGATACATTCTATATGTGCTATGTTTACATTTTGAACATTTTGGTGGCTTTGCTTGCCGTTGCAGCAGAACTGGCGTTGAAAGGGTTATACCGGGGAGGGCCAGAGACCGATGCTGCGTGAGGGGTGGGGACCTTGCCTCTTTCAAGTCTTCATAGAAAAGGTAGAGCATCTTATGTTCATTCCTCTTGTCCCACCAGCCTTTGACATGGTCGTACCAGGATCCAAAAGAGACTGAGGAGAGAGAGATTATGGGCTTCTGTGAGAACCTTTCTAGAAACGAGGAAATTCTGGCCTCTGCTGGGTAAAGGCTGCAACTCAGTACTATAGCTTCTTCTTTTTTCCCTTTTTTGGACTGCAACACCCATCTTCCCTGACCATTAGTCAGGACGGCTGGGGCTGATGGAAGTGGTAGTCTAAAACACGGCACATTTTCCACACACATAAGGATCAAGGTTCCATCTTCAGAACTGGGGAAAAGTCTGACAGACACCTTGAAGAGCTGCTGTCAGTCAGATTATCACGATCTGACTCAATATAAGGAAGCTTCATCATTTGTTTATCTCATTCTACCACTACCTGCCCAGAAGCAATGGGAAGCCAGAGGAGCAATGCCTGGATATGAACCTTCACACTCACAAAGCTCCTCCAAACCAGGTAAGATCTATGTAAAACACTTGCTCATAATTCCATATGGAATTTCATAATTATCTAGAAGATCACAAGTTTTCTGTCCTTGGCTTTCAGAGTCATTGCCCTCGCCCTCTGCCTCTATCTCATCTCCCACAGTCCTTACTGTCTCCAGCCATAAACTTCTCCAGGAATTCGTCCCACGTTCCAGGATCTGGATGCACTTTTGCCATTTGGTAGAAGTAATAATACGAGACAGCCACATCTTTGGCGTTTCTGGCCACGTAGATCATCTGTAGTGCAGAAAGTAGCATGCAGATTAAATGGATGATCAGCACAATTTATTCTGCTTCTGCCAGTCAGGCAGAAGGGCAAGGGCAATGCAAAGGTTTTGGAGTCCCTCCCCTTGGCTACTACAAAATGCTGCAAAGCCCTTCCCATCTCTGGTTTTTAAATTTTTACATTGCCCATAGGTTTTCAAGCCTGTTTTCATATGGACTAGTAACTTAGATATTTTCTAAATAAAGCATTTAAGTATCTTTCATATATAGACTAGAAACTTAGATTCCCTTTTTTGGAAACAGTAACCTTCTTCTGCATAGAATACACAGCCCTGCTGGCAACTTTGTGATCCTCCTTTCAGATTAACCCTCCAGCCCCTTTCTTCCACAGTGACCTCTTTCAGATCCCGCTCTTGCTAGATTCAGGTGCCCATATACCCTCTCACCTTGCAATCCGTTTCCCAGAATGATTTTGGAAGCAATTGGACCGGAAGGTGTGTTTTAATTAGACACGGCCGAGGTGCTTTTCTGAGCAGATCAATGCCTGGAGGGAGGGAGGGAGGAAACAGAAGTCAATAAAGAGGCTTCTCCTCTCTCCATCTTTCACGACCTGTCCCCACAGCATACCTTAGGGCGAGGGACTCCTGGCCTTCTGGGGTGTTTTACCTTTGGGAACTCCTTCAACAGCAAACTCCAAGAAAGGGACTCTCTGGTAGATGGGTTCGTTGCTGCATTTCTCCACATTGCCTTCTTTATAGATCAGGTCGATGACCTGGCTCACCCAGGTAGTTCCTGAAAGGGCATGAAGGGGCGTTTTGCATAAATTCTCGATTGCAGTGCAGTTAGGGAAAGCCAAGATTGAGGCTGCATACGCCCTACATTTAAAGCATGTGCGAACTACGTTTCCTCAAATAATTCTGGGTGCTGTACTTTGTTAAGGGTTTCTGGGCATTGTAACTTTGTAATGGGTCAATTACATTCGCCAGAACGCTTTAAGGGGGGGGAGTGCTTTAAAACTTATATATGCCACCTGAGGGTACATATACAGTGGTACCTCGGTTTAAGAACAGTCCTGTTTATAAACTATTCGGTTTACGAATTCCGCATAACCAGAAGTAGTGTCCCGGTTTGCGAACTTTACCTTGGTCTAAGAACGGAATCAGAATGGTGGAAGGGAACCGGCGGCAGGAGGCCTCATTAGGGAAAGTGCAACTCAGTTTAAGAACGGTTTCAGTTTAAGAACGGACTTCTGGAATGGATTAAGTTCGGAAACCGAGGTACCACTGTACACCCTACAGTCATGGCTGTAGCCCAGGTGGGGGCAGCTGCCCCCCAAATCAAGTAAATAAATAGAAAAACTAACTGACTAATTGCATCACAAATATCTGGGTTCTGCCCCCCCCCCAGCATAAAGCATGCCCCCCCTTAAAATAAATTCCATGCATACAGGTAAAGTACATATCCTCCCCAAAAGAAGTCTGGAAACTGTGTGATGGTGGACTGGGGGGGGGAGTCCTGTTTTAACTATTTATTTAACGCAGGTGGCACTGTGGGTTAAACCACATAGCCTAGGGCTTGCTGATCAGAAGGTCGGTGGTTCGAATCCCCGCGACGGGGTGAGCTCCCGTTGCTCGGTCCCTGCTTCTGCCAACCTAGCAGTTCGAAAGCACGTCAAAGTGCAAGTAGATACCGTAATTAGGTACCGCTCTGGTGGGAAGGTAAACGGCATTTCCGTGTGCTGCTCTGGTTCGCCAGAAGCGGCTTAGTTATGCTGGCCACATGACCTGGAAGCTGTACGCCGGCTCCCTCGGCCAATAAAGCGAGATGAGCGCCGCAACCTGAGTCGTCCACGACTAGACCTAACGGTCAGGGGTCCCTTTCCTTTTCCCTTGTGCTTTTATCTCATATTTTAATACACTGCCCAGAGATCTTTTGAAGAATGGGTGGTATACAAATGTAATAAATAAAGGAATTCTTAGTGTAAGGATTAGAGATATATTACAACTGTTATATGGCACTCTGCACGAGCCCAAAATTTGCCCCAGCCCTCCAATGGATCTCCTCTATTTTGTTTCCCCCCCTCGGTTCGGGGGAACTGCCTGCACAGCCCTAAATCCAGCACTGACAACAACTGCACAGTTATGTCCCTGTTTTCACCAGGGAAATCCTTGCTTCCCACCTCGACAACCGGCACATTTGTACAGCCACAAGTCTGCAAAGAACGTGATCCCTTTTAAGCTGTCGTCTTGGAAGCCATTGCTATTTGGAGGCTGTGTTAGACCATGTAACATTACCTCAAGGGCTTAGCACCTTTTCACAGAAGCCCAGAATTGTGGAGTTGGAAGGGATCCAATGAGGCATTTTAGTTAAGGTTACCAGCTTTTTTTCAGCGAATCCGGGGACACTTTTCAACTTCAATAGATTTTGTATGGGGACTGATATGTAAATCTGGGGACTGTCCCCAGGTAACAGGGACGTCTGGTAACCTTAATTTTAGTCCAACACCCTGCAAATGCAGGCATCGCAACTTTCCTTCCCATTGAGTGGGACGCAGCCCAAGACATTCACTCACCAGACTTGGGGTACGTGGAGATCAGCAAGTCCCCCGGATGAACTTGGAAGTCCTTCACCTCTTCCAAGACATCAGCAAACGTCTTGATCATGCCAACCCCCTGGACATAAACCAGTGGCGGGCGCTCCGGCTCTGCATTGGGCTTCATCCTGGCAGGAAAAGGGAGTTAAAGCAAAGTGGGCTGCTTGCACCCTTGGGCAGAGTGAGTCCCACCCCCCACGCCCGCCATGCAAGGAAGGTGTACAATACATGAGTGGAATCTGAGCTTGAAATTCAACCAAACGTTACGCAACATCTGGCATTCGCTACCTTCCCCTTTGACTGGAGTTGGCAGGGATTTCTGAGGCTGGGCTGAATAATAGGATCAGATAACTGCAAGGAACTGGGATTTCACTGCGAGGGAACTGAAATATCTGCTGAAGAAAAGGGAAAGTCTCACCCCCATCCTCAACCTCATTTGCCACCTGCAAGCAAAGCAATTTGTCCTCTCTGCGTTCTTTTTCGAGGGTCAGGACGGACCAGGATTAAAAAAAACAGCCTCATTATCCCATCCCTTTCTACAAGTCCTTCTGAGTTCAGTCGGTCTTTCTGTCTGGGAAATGGGTCGACGAGGATTGAAGCCTTCATACAGGAAAATAAAACCCAGGCTCTCGCTCCCTCTCAGCCTTGAATACTAGTCGTCCACCAGGATATTGGACGGTCTTGTTCTGCCCTCATCATCCCAGGGAGACCAGGAGTCCTGCCTGCCTTGTGCCCTGACAGCTCCTCGCTCCTCCACTGCCCGCAGTCCGGAGGCAGCTCAGCTTCCGCGGGTGTCGCTTACCTTGACCTTGAGGCGCTGGTGATGGTTCGGCGGCTGGCGCTGATTTGGGAGCTGAAGCGCGCCCGAATCCGGTTTGTGGGGCGTGGACCAGGAATGGGCGGAGAAGATCTCCCGGGGTGAATTATTCCGGGGTGGGACAGTGGAGAGCTGGTAGCTTTGCCGAGGTGCCGCTGAGATCAAGGCAACCCTTCTGCTTCAGCAAAGCAGAGGGAAGGGTTTTCACTGTGAAACACTAAATATATATGGCAATCTTTGATGCTGGGAATTCCTACATCCCCCCCCCCAAACAAAAACGAACCCAAAACAATGTTGGCATTCCGACCAAGGCTTAAGGGTTGCTTTCAAGCACGGTGGCTTAACGGAGTGCTGCCTCTTTGAGAGCTTCCCAGACCCCCAAGTGCCCTCTCTTCGCTTAGCCCCAGAGAGAATAGATCCCTCTTCCAGGTGTCTGTTCGGAAGGCTGCCAAGGGGCTTATGTAACAAGCCTGTTAAGTAACCTGCCCCTTCAGAGTCACCGTTCAACAGCCAACATAGTTTGGGTTGGACTTTCCTACTCATTTCTACAGGGAAAACACTCTGCACATGCTCAAGAGGTTAACTTTGCATGTTCTCACCTATCAGTGAGGACTGAAAATGGACTCAATTTAAGATCTGCGGTTAGACAGCAGTTTAAAACGGTTTCGAGGCCCCTCCGTGTGCACACTCTCTCAGCTCACCACCACCACCATGTTCAGTGAGCCCACTAATGATCTCTTGATACCAGGCTTCCCAAAACAATTTGGGTAGTTTTAATTTGAGCAATGGAAGAAGCCATTATAATGTGTTGATCTGGCTAGAGAAGCAACTTGGGTGTGCTGCAGGGGTCCTGATATGTCTCTGAAGCTGCCATGCTTGCTTGACTTCCAGCTTGCTTCCCACCTGTTCAACTTATATATTTCGAAGCACATAGATGTCACAAGCGAGCCATAAAGTCTCCATTAGCCTCCCATTTCTGGCTCTACAAAGGTGCCATGGGCTTTGCTGGCACTTGGAGAGTTCGTACAATGTGTTATATGTTTAGTAGTGTGCACCTGTCTCACACCACGGGTGGCGTTGTGGGTTAAACCACAGAGCCTAGGACTTGCCGATTAGAAGGTCGGCGGTTCGAATCCCAGCGACGGGATGAGCTCCCATTGCTCGGTCCCTGCTCCTGCCAACCTAGAAGTTCAAAAGCACATCAAAGTGCAAGTAGATAAATAGGTACCGCTCCGGCGGGAAGGTAAACGGTGTTTCCGTGTGCTGCTCTGGTTCGCCAGAAGCGGCTTAGTCATGCTGCCCACATGACCCGGAAGCTGTACGCCGGCTTCCTCGGCCAATAAAGCGAGATGAGTGCCGCAACCCCAGAGTTGGTCACGACTGGACCTAATGGTCAGGGGTCCCTTTACCTTTACCTGTCTCACACAGGTAAAAAAAAAGAGGCATTTCAATGCATAGCTGTCAATTTCCCCTTTTCTTGCAAGGAATCCTATTCAGAATAAGGGAATTTCCCTTTAAAAAGGGGAAATGTTGACAGCTATGTTTCAATGCACATCTTTAAGCATGCTTTGCATAAGTGCAAACATGGCAGACTGCACTCATATGATTGGCTCTGGTTCTCTATGGTATACACCCATATTCGGCTTAACAATCATGGAGTACCCAGTTGGGGCAAGGTTGAATAAATATTAAAAATGCTTGTTTTATGATGTTATAACTTATTTCATGTTTATAGTTGTATATAAATGTTTCAGATGTGTTTATAGGGATGGGAGGAAGAATAACATATTTGTTCCTTTGCTCAAGGTGGTTGGTGGAAGGGGTTGAGAAACCTCTGGCTTAAAAAGGCTGTAGCTGAGAATTTTCCAGAAGCTTCCTACCAATCCAAATAGAGCTGGCCAGCCTACCATTAGGCAGAGTGAGACGGTCACCTCAGAAAGCTGGTTTTGCTTGTCATCAAAGGGCAGCAAACATCAAGTGCTCAAAAGGCAAACATTTAATTTTTTTACAGAAAATAGGTCTGCCAAGTACAATCTCAGGGGCGTAGAGGGTGGTAGTTGAATGTATCTGAAACAATAGAAAAAAGTATCCCTCAGAGCAGCACCATAGAAACGCTTACATCAATGATATTTTGAGGAATTGGCAAGAGTTAGGCTCTTGGCTGTTGGGTTCTGAAACCCAAGAGAGCTGGCTGTGAGCCTAAGTGGACCAAGGAGTCTAGGAGTTAAGTTGTGAAACAGCAAACAAAGACCAGAGGAACCAGAAGAAGATGCTGCTTCAAAAGTTAGGAGTAAAAATCCCTGTTTAGGGCATTGCGATTTTGTGTGAGAGCGTGATCTCGCATGTTTTGCCCCAAAACGTGTGTTTTTGAGCTCTGTGATATTGCGCAGGTCACATGACTTGCTTGGGAGCATGGCTGGGAAGATGAACATCCCAGCTTCTGGCAACAACATGTACATTAAAATTAAAGCAGTATCATACCACTTTGAACAGTCGTTGCTTCCCCCAAAGAATCCTGGGAACTGTAGTTTGTTAAAGGTACAGAAAGTTTTTAGGACACCCTTATTCCCCTCACAATTCTTAGTGCGGTTTAACAATTATTCCCTCTTTGGGGACTTCTCAAAATAGTGTGGATTAGATATTGAGCAAGTTCTGCTGTCCATTGGAATGAAGAATGGTGGATCTGACATCCTCAACTGTTTTCCTGAATGTGCTTGTGTTTGCTTTAACAGGCAGTGTCACAGGGCTCCCACAGCTGTGCTTGTGGCTACTGCCTAGTTCTCTGTGGTAATGAGACAGACATGGCCCTAGCATGAGTGTATTGGCTACCCCTGTGTCCTTGTTGCACATTGGCCTTGTCACCAATGCAGTTCCCTGATTGGGAGGCTGTAATTAACTTTGCTGTGAATCTCGTCCTTTACTTTTGCTGACAAAAAATATGAACTGTCTGGTCATCAGTAGATTGGGCTGGAGGGAGCCACAAACTGCCCCCTCTTTGCATGAAAAGTGTTTTGATCTTCCATGATTCAGTAGCCAGCAGTTATGTGTGGTTGAGCCCTATCTTTACTTCTCAGTCATTCACCTTAACCTGAGGCCTTCATTCCACCAGCCAAAAAACAGCACACACTGGAGTTCAGGGACTTTTAGACTGTTGAACTCTTGCCTCAAAATTCCTTCTGAATTAGTAAGTAAGTAGTAAGTAAATTTTTATTTATACCCTGCCCTCCCCGACCAAGACCGGGCTAAAGGTGGCTAACATCAAATACCAAATACATTAAAACACAATCAAACGATTAAAGTACAGCTTAAATATTAGAATCAGGATAAAATTAAATGACTGCCCACGAATTACAGTGGTGCCCCACAAGACGAATGCCTCGCAAGACGAAAACCCACTAGACGAAAGGGTTTTCCGTTTTTGAGCTGCTTCGCAAGACAATTTTCCCTATGGGCTTGCTTCGCAAGACGGAAACATCTTGCAAGTCTTGCGATTTTTTCCGCTCCCCCCCGCCTTTTGCTAAGCCGCTAATAGCCTTTTAGCCGCTAAGCCGCTAAGCCTTTAATAGCCGCTAAGCCGCTAAACCGCTAATAGCACTAATCTGCTAAGCCGCTAATAGGGTTGCTTCGCAAGACGAAAAAACCGCTAGACGAAGAGACTTGCGGAATGGATTAATTTCGTCTTGCGAGGCACCACCGTACAACCATAGGGGTCGGAAACCTCAAGTATTCATCAGGGCCAGCTATCCATGTTGGACCCACATGAGTCAATAAAAGGGCCTGGGCCTGGACCAAAGGCCAGATGGAACAGCTCTGTCTTGCAGGCCCTGTGGAAGGATGTCAAGTACCGCAGGGCCCTGGTCTCCTGTGACAGAGTGTTCCACCAGACTGGGGCCAAAGCCGAAAAGGCCTTTACCCTGGTTGAGGCCAGTTTAACCTCCTTGAGGTCCGGGACCTCCAAGATATTATTATTTGTGGACCATAAGGTCCTACGCGGGGCATACCAGGAGAGGCAGTCCCGTAAGTACAAGGGTCCTAGGCTGTATAGGGCTTTAAAGGTTAAAACCAGGACCTTAAACCTGACCCTGTACTCCACCGGGAGCCAGTGCAGCTGGCATAGCACTGGATGAATGTGGTCTTGCGGCAAGAACCCTGTAAGCACCCTCACAGCAACATTCTGTACCCACTGGAGTTTCTGGGTCAGCTTCAAGAGTAGTCCCGCATAGAGCGAGTTACAATAATTGAGCCTGGAGGTGACTGTCCCATGGATCACAGTGGTTAGATCATGGTGAGAAAGGTAAGGGACCAGCTGCTTAGCACGGTAAAGGTGGGAAAATGTCACCTTTGCATTAGCTGCAACCTGTGCCTCCATAGAGGGGGATGTGTCGAAGGTTACACCCAAACTCCTGATGGAAGGCACTGGCACTAATTGAGCACTCGCAAGAGATGGGAGTTGACCCCCATATATCTCTTTGTTTGATGCAGGAATTAAAGAAAGTTCACATTCACTTCTGCAAGGACTGCTAGAATAATCTCTTTAGCAGCTTCTTCAGCTAAGGGGACATTTGATTGAATAGAAAATACTTTGCATGCTTTTTTGAAATGTGTTGGGGTTTTTTTGCACTTTCCAAAACAATACGCTATCCGAAACACAGCCATCCTTCAAAATGCACTTCTCCGAAATTTGCAGCGCCGTTCTCCAGCAATGCAATTTGTTCAAAAATGCATACATGAAAGTAAACTCCACACATCATTGTGTATATTAGTGAAAATAGCATACAAAAGCACATTTTATTAGGAAAAACTGTCAAAGGTGTGCACATTGGGCAAAACTGTATATTAGAAGAAATTCACACGAAGATGCTGACGAATTTTACTGAAGACTCTTTTTTAAAAAATTGCACAGTAGCGTGGAAATGTGAATAATTTAAGATCTGAAAAATGTGAAACTGAGAGGAACCCAAACTGACAGATTTGCCTACCCCTAGTCGTAGGCGTGGGCCTGCCCAGCTCCAGCCCAGAATTCCACCTCTGGCACCTGTGCTATGTTTGTTCTTGTTTCTACTGACAGAAAAAAATGTCTTGGCTGGTATTATAGTTTTACATTCTCCTATTCTGACCAGGCGAGTAAAAATGTATGAGGTTGGGAAGCAGCGGGGCCTTCTCGGTTGTGACACAGCTGCTGTGGAATGCCATCCCCTGAGAAGACTGCCCAAGTCAAAGCCAGCAAATGCTAGGTCCGCATGCACAGACAAATAAAACATCCTTATTCCCAACAGACATTTTTAGGCCAAGGATTTGGGTGTAGATCTCTGTGTTCAGTTTGGCTTTTATTGTGTGGAATGTTCCTCACAGTGAGCTTTGTGTCATTTTACCTGATGTTTG